AGTAGCTAAGTTTCTTGATGCTTCTGGAGCAAAACTTGACTATCGCCGATATGCAGAAACACTCTTTGACATTCTGGTGGCTGGTGGAATGCTGGGTAAGTGTCTGGGTTTTATTGGTTTAAGATTTTAGGGAAGTGAATGTACAGAGATTATGGAGAATCCGGAATATAGACTATTGATGAACCTATTGGGTGGGGTGGTATTTTTGGCTGTGTTGTATTTTATTTCGTTTCTGCCTCCATAAGTTTTTTCCATTCTTTTCTTCTAATTCATAATAAGTTATCAGATTTCCCTGTTCTGTCAAGCCTCATGTTTGAAGTCTAATTTCCTACAACATCCCCAATTGATGATTTTTCCAACATATGTTTGAATACTACCATTTTATGGAGAAACTTCTACCCTTGTTTTGTTCTATGGATGCTCTAGTCCTGTGCTGCTCAGTACAGTAGCCATTTAGTCACATATGCCTATTAAGTACTTGGGATGAGGCTAGCAAATTAATATATGCAATAAGAAAAAAGTACACATTGAATTTTAAAGATGTAATAGAAAAGAGCCAGACATGATAGTGTAATCCCAGCTACTTAGTGAATCTAAGGCTGGATAATCAGCTTTAAGGCCATCTTGGGCAACATAACAAGGCCCCATCTCCAAAAAGACTTATTTTTTTAAAAGTTAACAGAAAAAAGAATGTAAGACAAGTTATTTCAAAATGTTTTTAGAGTGATACTACATTGCCATCCAAGCTATGAGGCTTACCTGACAGTGAATTACCCAGTAGTAGACCCAGGAACTTAGAACTCCTACCATTTTGGGGAGTGAAATTTGCCAAATTATATTGTTATGTTGTTTACATGTTTAAATATATAACAACAAATCCCACCATAAACTATAATGCACCAATAAATGAGGGAAGAATTCATCCCTTTTAATGCCTAGTCAAGAGAGTATTTCTTTTCATTGCATTAGCCAATTTGTAGTAAAAAATATGAAAGGTTTCTATTTCTATTCATAATACTGTTACTAGTAAGGTTTTTTTTTGGAAGGGGCGGGGAAGGTCTTTAAAAACATATTTACCAAGGAAGCCAGGTACATGTCTGTAATCCCAACTGTTAAGGAGGCTAAGGCAGAAGCATGGCAAGTTTTAGGAAGTCCCAGTCTCAATAAAAAGGGCTGGGGATGTGGCTCAGTGGCAGAGTACCCTGGATTCAGTCCTGAGTACAGATTTTAATCAAAAATTGTTTTTCTAAGGAACATTTAAAATACATCATAAAGAGAATAATATAATGAACACATCTGATCTTTTACCCAGCTTCAACAGTTGTTAACATATCTGTGCTTTTTTTCTCCTTCCCCCGATTTTTTAAAGCATTAAGTTTTCATAACAGAATTTGTTTTTATAACAGAAGCTTGAAGGATTACTTTCTTCATGGAAAATTACATGTAATCAGAGCCATCTCTGAACATCTCCATTTGACAGATTTGGCACTACTGAATGGTTATAGAGTTACTTTAGGGTGCTAAGATTGTTCTATGTATTCCTGTGTACATTTTTACTCTTCATTCTTATATACTGAACCCACCAAACACACTGGTTGATTAATTTTGCTTTTAAATTTGTCTTTTAGGATGTTACCATCTTATTTTCTATTGAAAATTCTTCTAAAAAATATTTTTTTAAAAAAAATGGGGCTTGGGCTGTGGCTCAGCAGTAGTGCACTTGCCTGGCATGTGTGGGGTACTGGGTTTAATTTTTGGCACCACATATAAATAAATAGAATAAAGGTCTATCAACAACTAAAAAATATTTTAAAAATAATAAAATAAAATTGCAAAATTTGAGACTGGGATGTAGCACAGTGGTAGTGCCCTTGGTTCAATCCCCAGTGCTGAAAATAACTAAAATAAGCAAAATTTTTTGTTAATATTCTTTAGCCCCAGGTGGTACACTGGCAGATGACATGATGCGTACACATGTCTGCGTGTTTGCAGCACAAGAAGACCTAGAGACCATGCAAGCATTTGCTCAGGTAAGTAAGATTTTACTTCATGTTTTCAGTTAGCTAATGTTTAAGGAACTTTTTGCTTTAAAGGGAGGGACATGTAGTTGGGTGTTGTGTTGCAGGCCTATAATACCAGCCACTCAGGAGGCTGAGGTAGAAGGGTTTCAAGGTCAAGGCCAGCCTCAGCATTTTAGCAAGACTTATCTCAAAAAATAAAAAGGACTGAGGTGTAGCTCAGTAGTTAAATCTCCTATACCACAAGCTTGCTCATGCACACACCCAGCAATACAAATCTATAGAGAAGTTGCAATTAAAGCATTAGAAGTACTGGTATATTTAGGATTGAGGAGCTGATAAAACTCTTCCCAAGTTGATATAAAGTGTAAGCTTTTGCCTTTAGTGTAAGACTTCCTTCTTTGCTGTTCTGGAAATAACTTTGGTGTTCTTCATAGGTTTTTAACAAGTTAATCAGGCGCTACAAATACCTGGAGAAAGGTTTTGAAGATGAAGTAAAAAAGGTATGAGGAGGGATTGTGTGTAGCTCAATGGTAGAACAAGAATAGGGTCAGGAAGAGAATGTTAAATTCTAATTCCCACAGATTTGATATAATTTTAAATAGTTAGGTGAGCTATAATTGAAATCTAATTTTGGAGTATATTATATAGTTTGTTAAAATAGTTCTAACTTGTGCACTGTTGCTTAGCTGTGTCCAAACAAATGGCAAAATTAAAAGGCTAAGTGGAGTTGTTCAGAATATGGAGGGCAAAGGATTAGAGCCTAAAAAATTGAATAACAAATTTAGCTTAGCTTACTTGATATTTGAGTCCCAGTGTGAAATGTTTTATAAACAGTGCAAAGAAAATCTGATAACATTAATATTTATTGAGTGCCAGGTTTTGTTCTAATTATATCAACTCATTTAATATTCATTGAAGACCCTGGGAGCCAGGTGTAATAAGATGCCTGTAATCCTAGTGACTTAAAAGGCTGAGGCAGGAGGATTGCCAGTTTGAGACCAGCCTCAGCAATTTAATAAGGCCCTAGCAACTTAGTGAGGCCGGGTCTCACTCAAGATTTAAAAAAAAAATAAAAAGGGCTGCAGATGTAGCTCAGTGTAAAGCACTCCTGTATTTAGATCCCAGTTAACCCCCATCCCAGAACAAACCTGGGGAGGTTGAGGCAGGAGGATCACAAGTTTGAGACCAGACTCAGCAATTTAGCAAGATCCTATCTCGGGCTGGGGCTATAACTCAGTGGCAGAGTGCTTGCCTAGCAAGCGTGGGGCACTGGGTTCAATCCTCAGCACCACATGAAAATAAAATAAAGATATTGTGTCCACCTATAACTAAAAAATAAATATTTAAAAAAGGCAAAAAATAAAGGAATTCTGTCCATCTACAACTATAAAAAAGGGGGGGAATCCTATCTCAGAATAAAAAGGACTAGAGGTGTAGCTCAGTGGTAAAGTACCCCTGGATTCAGTCCCAAATACAACCCTGGTAGGCAAATTTTATTATCCACATAAAGTGTGAGGAAACTGAAGCACAGAGATTAAATACTTTGCCCAAGATTATTTAGCTAATCAGTTATTACAACTAAGATATAAACTTGAGTGATTAGGTCCCAGAGCCCACCCTTTCAATCAATAGAGTAAGTGTGCCTTGCTGTTTGTCTTCAATCAATAGAGTAAGTGTGCCTTGCTGTTTGTCTTAGTGTAAAGCAATTGTTTTTCTGACCCTAAACTATTTACTTTTACAGCTGCTACTGTTCTTAAAGGGTTTTTCAGAGTCGGAGAGGAACAAGCTGGCTATGTTGACTGGTGTTCTTCTGGCTAATGGAACACTTAATGCATCCATTCTTAATAGCCTTTATAATGAGAATTTGGTTAAAGAAGGTAATTAACCTTTAGCATAGGGTAGTCTTTGAATGGATTAGAGTGGAGTAGGTGTAATTAAAGTAAAAAGAAATGCTTTGGGAACCCAGAAAGATTGGTACCAATTGGGAGACTTGGGACATCTTTAATGGAGATGACACACCAGAAAGATGTCAAGCTGAAAGGAATAATTAGTTCCTATTTGTGGCTTCTGTATTCTGACAGTGATTTTTTTTTTTTTTTAAGCTAACTTGGGCTGGGGATATAGCTCAGTTGGTAGTGTGCTTGCCTCACGTGCACAAGGCCCTGGGTTCAATCCCCAGCTCTACAAAAAAAAAAAAAACCGCTAATTTTTTTTTCTTCCCTTATATGGGGTACTAAGTATTTAAGGGCCTTTTAAATTCTCGCCACATTCCTGTTATTGTAGGAACTGTTACCCTTAACTTACATTACAAAACACTAAGTATAAAGTTGGCCAAAAATATGCAACTAGCAAAGGATGAAATAGGTGGGGCTGGGATTGTGTCTCAGTGGCTCAGTGGTAGAGAGCCTGGCGGGCGGGGCGGGACCCAGTTCCATTCTCAGCACCATATAAAAATAAAGGCACTGTGTTGTGTCCATCTACACCTAAAAAATAAACATTAAAAAAAAAAGATGAAATAGAGACATTGGAGTGAAAATGTAAGCAGTGGTAAAGGAAAACTGAGGATTCAGTTTAGAAAGAGAATGAATAATCCTGTGTGGTTGTACTGTGGAGGGGGGGAGTACATCGAGATAACAAGATTAAAATCTGAGAAGGTATTTCTGTTAGATGAGCTTTTTCTCCTCCCTTTCCCCTTTCACAGGAGTTTCAGCAGCTTTTGCTGTAAAACTCTTTAAATCATGGATAAATGAAAAAGACATCAATGCAGTAGCTGCAAGCCTTCGGAAAGTCAGCATGGATAATAGACTGATGGTTTGTAACTTTTTTCTTTCTTCCCATTCCTACCAACCCTAGAGGTATATGTAAGAGAAATTTTATTTTGAAATCTGAAAGTGGACAATATTTTAATTCTCCTTTCAGGAACTTTTTCCTGCCAACAAGCAAAGCGTTGAACACTTCACAAAGTATTTTACTGAGGCAGGCTTGAAAGAGCTTTCAGAGTATGTTCGGAATC